CAAAAGAATTGTTGTTTAACGAAGACGTTTCAACCAAACTACCACGGCCCCCCAATATCAAATCACAATCTCTCTCAAACCTACAACCACAAACACTCTTCTCATCAACTTTGGAAAACTGTGAATCCTGTCCACGGGTTGCCTGATGGCTCATGTCCTCCCTTTCTCCCTCAGGCGAAGGATCAGAGAGGAGTTGTCCCTAGATGTACTCCCGCAGACTTGGTACCTGCTTTTTGCAGGTATGGGCATGTTTAAACAAATCCTCAGTCAACGGCAGGAGCTGATGTCCCGCGGCTGACCTCTCTAAGGGGATCACTTTGGTGGCATCCAAGCCTCTCAGTACAAGAAGGTCTTCATCAAAGTCGATCACGGCCTTCAAGGCTCGCAGGGTCTGAATGGACAGCAGGATTGGCCCTTGGCCTCGATCCAAAGCATGGATCTGGAGTGTGCCAGGCCGGTCATTGGCTGTCACCTTCAACTGAGTGGTGGAGATGCACTTGTCTTGTGAACCATTTCCGAATCCGAACTGTGGTTGGTTCTGAGGATCGACGGCTTGGATGCGGCTTTCGCCGTGCTTTCCCAAGTTCTGATCCATGACTGCCTGAATGGCAGCTACACTGCCCAACGTCTTTGTAGCTCCACCGTCAATCACTGCACAGCCAGCGAGAACGGCTTCCTGGGTAGTGCGTGCAGTGTCGAGGCCGTTGACGGTCAGGGCCTCCTCGGTGAAGCAAACGAAGGGTGCCTCTTCGGTAATGGTCACATGTCCTTGGTTCTTCTGATCCTGAGGCTTCTCAGGACACTCTGAGGTTCTATGTCCTTTGCCACAACGCAGGCAAGTGACACCTTGGGCTCCATCTCCTCGTGGGGCATAGCTGTGGCGATCGTGACGAGGTGGATCTCCCCCTCCACGTCGAAAGGTGGTCTTGTAGTACTGGCGGGAGAGCTTCACCTGATGCTAGCGTGCTCGGGCTTCTTTGAGTGTGCGACGTCCTTGCTCAATCAAAGCGAACGCCTCCTGAGCCCGTTCTTCCGCGGCATTGAACAAGGCCTGACCTTCCCCAGTCAGGTCGTCAAGCCACCATGCATCTTCGAGTAGGTCTGCTTCAGGAGGTAGGCTGGTAGCCTCCGGCTCATCAGCCCAAAACCCAGCATGCTTGGCCTGTTGGTCTCGCTTCTTAAGTTCCTCATCAGGCCACTGCAACCGCAGTTCTTTTGCCACTCGCTGCACCGAAAAATCCTCTTGGATTGCTGTTTGGATCATGTTCTTTTCGGTACTGTCAAGACCGGCGTCAGCCAGTAAGTACCAGCCTTGAAGAAACTCCGGCAGGAGCTCATCAGTGTTCAGCTTCCATGGCTCATCATCCACGGGGTTGTACCCATAGCCATAGCTGGTTTGTGACTGGTGCCACGAAGGTGCATCCGGTGCCTCACTCGGAGGATCATACCATTGCTCCTCCTCATCGTGTTCTTCCTGGTCTGGCTGACGTTGCCAGTTGGTGCCCTGCCAATCATCCCATGAAGATTGGCTCCAACGGCGCTGCTGCCACTCATGTTCACGGTGATCTCTGCGATGTTTCCCAAAGAACTGCTGTACCCGGGCGAGCGACTGTCGGGCTCGATGATAGACTTCCACCTTGCGGGTGATGTAGGTGTTCATGTTCTCAAATCGTCGTCTTCGACTATGGCGGAAGTACTTGTTCAGGTACTCTGTCATTTCGGGGATCGTTGGCCTTCCCAAGCATTCTCGGAGGTGTTGTAGTAAGTGGAGGACACCCCCATTGAATGACAACCATTGCGGCCTCTTCCCCATCACATACCTTCTGGCGGGCCCACTCAGTTCTGCCACTAGTTTGGGTCCAGCTAAGTATCTTTTGTGGTATGGGATACCCTGTTCCCACTGGAGAGCTTGTTCTTCATAGTCTTGGAAACTCACGGAGTCCCCATCCCACTGCGGCACACCATCTTTCGACCGGTGGACCTCGGTCGAGGTCATCCCTGTTGTTCTCTGAACTGGTCCTGGCGAGTTCAGCTACAAAAAAACGAAGGTCCCTGGAAGCAAAGCTCAAAGGCTCCGCGCTACCATCCAACTGGGATGGCCGAGAGGTGGCGTAGGATGCCCAAGTCAATCCGGAGGAACCGATGGCGACAAATGCGAACTTGACACGGCTATGCGGTGTCTCTCAAAACGCTCGCCGTTTTCCTCGAACCTGAATGGACTGGCGGTTGGACCTAATTGGTGTTCAACCGACTCAAGTGCTTGTCACTTGCATATATATACACATAACGAAAGCCAGCCGGTAGGCTAGGCTGATTTTTGTTTGCGAACGAAGTGAGCTATCCTGGGGCTATGGGTAGGTCAGACTGTGCCAATCCTGAAAACTTATATATATATATATTGGCCTGTTTGCTTTCTGACGGAGGCCATTTTGGATGAGTCGGTGGCTGAAAATGCAAATCGTAGTAGTCTTAGTCGTGGTATTATTTTCATCACCAAGGATCAGCAAGGTAGATATCTAGAGGGAAAGAGAGAACATGTTTGTGAAAGATGGCTATGAGAGCAGCATTTGTTGGATCAAACAGCTTGCATGCCAGAGTTATATAAAGTGGTTGTGTGTGGATCTCAGGCTGTTCTATGATAGTACGTCCGGACATGTATCTCGTTTGCCACATGACAGCCTAATTAGAAAGTGGTATGGCCCTGGCCAGGACCTTCATGCAGCATGAAACGTGCGGGACTTGTTTCGTATACATCAATGTGAAGAAGGGTTTCCGGGCTTTCGTTCGAAAACAGCTTTTTGCGGACAGCAGTCCAGGAAAAAACATGAAACAACTGTTTTCAATGCCTTTTTGACAAGACGTGGTACAACCATGACCTGCCTGCTGGTTTCTACTTGTCTTCTTTCCCCACTTCTCAGGTTGCGTTAGACAAGTCTACTGTCATTTGTTTCACTGGGCCAAGGTCAAGATCATTTTATTGCCCACTTTCGGGAGACTTTGGAGGAAAACCGCCGACACAACGCCAGCAGCTCTGCAACTTGCATTCGAGAGAGTCAGAAGTCATATCAGGGGAATGCAAGGAACGTCTCTGTGAGATGGCCGAAAACTAAACTGCGAGGTTTGCTCAGTACAGCTTGTTCTTGTTAGCAAAGCCTGGCAAAAAAATGTAAATATATATATACAATAAAAGGTCAAACCACATGGCCATGAAGCGCGACTGTGGCTCAGGTATGGTGGATGTCCGGTCAAAATGCTTGGGCATTTAGCCGAGAGGAGTCCTTTGGTGAAGACATCTTATTTGTAGGTGTCATAGGTTTGATTTTACTTTGAGAGCAAACATGAGCAAACCGTTTCAGGCATGCAAGGATTTCCTGTACCGATTGCTGACAGGAATCAAGTTAGGTATGTGGTGTGTGACAGGTGATAAAGAATTGTGATTGAGCTTTGACTGTTCTCATTATAGTATATACATTTGTTGAGACATTTTTTGGGAGCAAGTCACAGCCATGATGATGCTTTGCAGTCGATCGGGTGCATCAGGTTTGTTGTAAAGCAACTGGAAGAAGGCTGGCTACATTCGAATGACCATTCAACAGCACTTGTGGGTTTGAACTCAGGACGGGGTTTGTTGGCATGAAGTGACAATTGAAACCTAAATCACATGTCGGTGTGACCCTTGAAGCGAAAAGTTCCATGGGATTTCCACCGCCGATCAGGCCGATCAAAGCGAAAAGAGTCGCGCAAAGAAGCCAGTGAGGCTGACATGAGTGATCCGAGGCTCGAAGTTGATTTTTCAGTCAAATCTTGGCCCAGAAACACGGCACTACATCCTCAACTCATTGATTCATTGATACAACTGATGTAGACAATTCACATGGATTCACTGATGTAGACAAAATAAATGACACATGACATGCTCAGACCTCGAGTCTGTGCAGATATCTTCTAATCGCTTAGAGTACATTTCAACACCGGCATATGCGACACCTTTGTTCGCAAATGTTGAATGAAGTAGTGACCAGCGTTCATCAGCTCGGCGGGTAAATTGATTTGTTGTGTGACTTGCAAGGTTCATGGGCTTCTGGAACTCTACAGTGGCACGGGTCAAGATGAGCGAGTGCCCTTGTACGGAAACTAGAGACGTTGCAGCTAGCTACTGGCGCCAAATGCAGAAGGCAACTTTTGGTTTGCAAATGACATTGAATTAGATAATGCCTTTGCAGATTGTTTAAGAATACGTTTGACTTTTGGTACACTTTGGTGTTTGTTCCCATATCGGGCCTAATGCTACTGAATTGGCTGAGGACTTCTCGGACCTTGAAGTTTTAAAGGTTCTAAAAGCTGTCATTTATGTGTAGCCACTTTGACTCATGGATGTTGAAGCCTTCAAGGATGCTCAAGGTACTTGTGTGCTTTGGCCTACAAGGAAGCCATCCAGCTTTTTCGCGGTGAAGTTGAGCTGCTTATTCTGCATGATTAGCGAGTGTCAGTCAGTGGACAAAACATATTTGACGCTTTATCCCAGCATGGGTCACAACATGAGTGTGAGGACATTGAAGCCAAATGAAACCAATACCGCAGTGTCACACCCGAATTGAATGAAGGTGGTAGTTACTGGTAGTTGTAATCAACACCTGGTAGCTATCAGATGTCTTGCAATCGCACCAAGCACAAAACACACAAATTGGACCACCCGGCTCTGAGCTAAGGTCTTCCCATGTCATGTCCGAATCTCAACGAACGGCCGAAGTGCTTCGGCGTGTTGTGGAGACATGAGAGACAAAAAGGGGCCTGCAGCTTTTCGCATAGGCTGTGTCCGCTTTTCAATGTTTTTCACACAACATGTCTTTGTTATTGTGTTGAGTGATGGGATTCGGAGTGGTTGCTATGTGATATCATCTCTCATGATCAGTGAGTGTGTTCGTGTTTCATCTAATCGCAATAGATTGAGTAGGGAATTGTAGTCTAAACAGTTTTTTGCACAAACTGGATTGCCGTAGGAGGAGACGCAGGTCTTCACCAGCACGATGCCCCGTGCAGTCTCTTCTGTGAGGATCTCCAGCAATTCGAAGTTCCAAGGGCTGTGAAACAGGCAACTTGAGGGGTCAAGAAGGTTGCCATTTCCATATCTATATATATATATGACATATTATGATTAATGACAGGTATACTGTTTATATGGTTCTATATACACAACTTCTCTTGAACACTCAACTGTTCATTACAGTATGACCTCTGCAGAGTTGGGCCCTTACGTAGCTGGATGCTGCAAGCAAGTCCAGATGTTTAGCAACAAGATTACAGAGAAACAGTGTAGGGACTTGGGAAGTGACATGCTGTGACGAAAGAGGCAAATCAGTTGGGATGTCCTTAGGCTCGCTGCACGGCAGCCCTGATTGACCAGCGATCAGCCACTTAGCTGGACTGGTAAACATTTGCAAAACTAATTGTCTTACCATACGTTTGTCCAACATACTTTTGCTGGCTGGTGGAATAAGAGCGAACACCAGAAGAAAGAGAGTCTGACCACAGAGTAGTAGCAGGGCTGGGCAGAGCCTTTCTGTACTTCGGTAGAGATCCCTTGAGAGAATTCCTTTCTTCAGGGTGTGAGCAAGTTGTTGATGAAAGTTATTTCAATTCCAAATCCTTCAGTATTCTGAAGCATGGTACTGTGCAGGCAAAAGTACTCATTTTGCACAGATGCACACACTGCCAGTTGATGTGGCCCGTATTCTTGAGAGCGAAGTGCGTGTGGCCAAGCCAAGGCCTTGAATCCTATCGACAAGGCTGCATGGGGCTATTTGGGGCACATACTTCACTGACTGATGCCCATCACTGCTTTGAACTCAGAGTTTCGTATTGGGATCATCGAGGGATTGAAGAGCATACAAGTACAACACATATACGAATAATTATTAATATAATAATATATATATATATGGACACATGAAAAGTACAATCATCCAACAAAACTTCAAACAACATCCAGACAAATATCCAGACACTGGATGTTGCAGGTGTTTCTGGCGCATGTTTGATTGCATTGTGTGTGTGTGCACTTGATATTGTGCCACAATTACTGTGATAGTTACTTGTCCATTGCCGGGTCATGTACTCTAGATGGTATGAATGTGTCAAACACAACTTGGATGGTGTTCCTGAGGCCGTTCTAATGCACAGTTTCGACATTATTGGGCGTGCAACAGTTCCTACATGTTCGTAGGATGGTCGCATACTCATTTGGGGCACTGTTTGGAGAAACACTGAGCATGCTTATGATATAAATTCTTGAACGATATAAGTTCCATAGACTTGCATTTGAATAAGCAGAGACTGATGCTTGACCTTTCAATAGATGAGGCCTGAGTCTTTTCTCAACCTCTTGTGTTTCACAAACAAATCAGTAGTGTCAAGGCAGTTCTCACTCAGAAGTTGTAAAGAGTCAAGACTCATTCATCCTGCTTCTGCTGCTTCGGCAGGGTGTATTGGGTGCTGGCTGGTGGGACGTGGAGTGTGCAGAAGATGTTCCTCCTTGGAAGGAGGTCGCACGCATCGCAATCAGAGTCTTCTTGTGTTCCTGATGGAATGTGCACATTGGACAATCAGTTTGAAGGCTTGTTGTGTATGTCCTCGGCTATTGTTTAGCCCTTTGTAGTGGAGCACGTCGTGTCTTTTTTTGTGTTCGCTCTTTCTATATTTCTGGATCGACCACGACAGCTACGCTATCACATGTGCAGATGGACAAAAGGCATCCAGAGTTCATGAAACAGCCGCGGCCTCAATCTTGCAACGGCGAGTATGCTCCTTCGTCGCGCTGTGCTGTGTTTGCTACTTTCTTGATGATGGGCCGATACAACTACAGTACATACTGTGTATATATATACATATCATTAATCCCCTGCCGAATAACCCCTATAGAATGGGGGAGGTCGAGCTCCAAAATGACTTAGCATTTTATAGAGACTTTTCTCTAGAATCAAAAGTCAACCTACCTGAGACAGATCCACTCTGAGGATACCTGAGGTGAGAGAATCATATATTGATGGATCACTAGGTTGACCACCCTCATTTTGTAGAGAATATATGACAATTGAGGACATTTTATAGAGGACAGAGGTTTTGATTCTATAGAGAGAACCTGGTTTTGATTCTATTTTCTGTCCAATCTTGTTATAAAATGAAATTCAACCTTGCAATGTTCAATCATGTTTCTATAAAATAGAATACCAACCTCTCTTGCCATTGCTGCCTAATTTTCCTCTAAAATAATATGTCAGCCTTGATGTGACACCCACTTGTCTATAGAATGAGGACCACCCCTGGCTGTTTCTCCCACTTGAATGTCTATAGAATGAGAACCACCCCTGGCTGTTTCAATTAGATAATTCAGATTTTGAGCCTACAATTCTGTTACATTAGTGCCTTCAAGGGTGACCCCCTTTATTCTATAGAGAAACTATGCTGTACACTACAAGGGTTGAAAGCTAGATTCTATAGTGGGGCATTTTGCTCCCAGAGGTTGGTTCAACCATTTATCACTATAGAATGGCGTTCTCAACCCCCACCGGTTATTCCACAGAGGATTATCATTACATATCATATACCGCTTAACAAAAACTAAACGTGCACTTGAGCGGAAGTTGGCCGACAGCAAGAGCCACCGAAGGTTCCAGCAAGACCCATTGTATTGCCAGTTCCCTGGTGGTGAGAGCCCAGAACCCAGCTTCTATTTTTCACAGATTGAGGACAACTGCCTACATTGTTTGTTTTGAGAACCAGATGAAGCCTACCTTCAGACTTCCTGACAAGTTCGATTGCATGTGCTTGCACATTTTGTGCACCGAGGTTTCAGGTGCCTAACCTACGCATTCAAATTCTTGTTTGGTTTGCCAATATATAGAGCAACTCAGGGTTTGTTTGTATCAGGGTTTGTATGCATGTTTGTCGTCACCCACTTTGAATGATCGTCGGCCACCGACAAGTTACTTTGTAACTGGATCAATATAAGTTGTGGTTGTGGGCAGAAATGCAAATCCTTTGTCTAGGTGTTAAGACACTCTTGCAAAAGTGTTTCAAGTCATTGTTCTTGCAGTCCAAGTGTCTAGTCCGAAAATTAAGAAACATCCGTCATGGAAACGGAAACTGTAGAAAGATCATTATTATGACTATGACCCTCACGCCGCATCAAAGACAATGCCTTGCTTGCCTTGGTTGGGAGCTCGAGCGCCACCTTGAGACTCAGGGTATATGGATGTGGTCATGCGACTAGAGAGCGTGCTCATTGACGCCACAGACCTATGCCAGACAAAGCATCATCAAGATACTGACAGTGCGTTGCTCGAAGTATTTCAGAGACGCCAATAGGATTTGATTCAGCAGAGAGGATGTGCGTAAAACTTTGGAAGCACAGTAATGCACAAACTAGTCTTAACTGGACCTAAAGGCATGGTTATGCTGCCTGTTGGCAAAGGATCCTTTAAGCCTTCCCACTGAGCTGTGCTTTTTGACAGTCCTTCGGGCCGAAAGCCAAGGTTGAAATGTGTACGAGTCCAGTACTCATAGTTTGCAGCTCAGAGTGGATTTAAAGGATTTTAAAGGTATCGAATAATGATACATATTGTTGTGCTTTCTCATTGTGTGCTTTTTTGGGCGGCACGACTTTTCGCTGCTCAATCAAAAGAACTCATGAATGGAACAAGTCACTTCTGTTTGTTCCGGAGCTTTCAATATTGGTAGAACATTGTAAACAGTCACAATTAGTTTACTTGTGGCTGACAATAATTAGTTTTGGTCATTTGTCAACTACTGTAAGCCAGTTGCCGGCAGCCATACTCACTATCATCGGCTGTATGTTACTTTGGATGAGCTTCCTGCGTGCAGTTTCCGTCATTGGTGGAATCTTCACCCTGGAAATCTGCACACGCACTTCCTGATTCAATTCCTCATTCAACAACCTCAGTTAGAGAGATGTCGCCAGCAAAACCTGTGGCTGAGCAATACCAGCCATGTCCTGTTACAGCCTGTTATATACATGAACTATGCTTGTGTCACAAGACATTGAGATGCCTGACATGTCCCGAAATGAGTTCATACGCTCGCGCCGCTCGCGCATCTTGGACGTAATCAACTGCCAGGTGAGTCACATCACGACCCTGCAAGTGCTTTTGGCCTATTTCAAGGGGTTCCTTGGTCGCAGACCATTGCAAGCTACTGTACTTGTATATGCTAAAGTATGTTATATTTGCGGTTGCAAGCTTTTGCAAGGCCTTTGACTTTCATTGTTGCGCACGAGTGAGTGATTATTTGACTTGCTGCTAGCTGAAAGTGCTGTTTTATGATATGTCCGGTCCTGTTAAACTGTTATTTTGTCAAGGATTCCCGTGGAGGAGGCGGAATTATGCGATTTGGACCGCAGTCACTATTAGCTTTTTTCATGAGTTCTGAGTCATTCCCATATGGCCCATACTTGTCATTCCAGAAAGCCAAAGACATTAAAGTACCAACATAAGGTGATGGGACACCCGATGTCCAAGAGTGGTTTGCGTTGACACTTAGCATGTTCCTTCTACATCAGCTCCCGCCTTCAAGCATTTTGCTTCCGATTTCAATCTTAGCCGTAAGTATATATCGTACCTTTGGTATCCTTTTGCGTAGGCTTGGAAGCTTTCCTTGCCAAAGAATATGGTTGTGGAGGCCAAGCTTCCTTGCTGCTTGGTGCACTTGGGGGAATTCGTTCATGGTGGATGATTGGATGATACATGTTTGCATTGCAGATTTGTAGATGATAATAGATGATACGAAACTGCCCGTTGGGCCGGACATAAACTTGTTACACACTTTGCCACACCTGGTTCCAAATGACAGTTGTTGACAACTTTTAATCTCTAACTCTCGTTGTAATTCCATCAGTTTCTTTTAGATTTCGCTTGTATGGCATCAAAAGCTGTCTTTACTGCAAGCCATTGCGATCGAGATATCCTGCAAATTGTTTGTCAGAGTATCCCTCAATGTGCGATTGGCACATGGCTGGCTGTGTGAATGCATTGTCTAGAGTCTAGATACATGTTTATCATTTCTGGATCGCATCAGACTTTATTTTAATTCGACGTTCAACGTATATACTGTATATGAGGTGGGGTCAAAATAAGTGTAGGGAGAGGTCGATGTGAATGGCTTAGGGTGAGGATGTATTGGAAACCGATAAGGTCCCCCCCAAGACCGATAACCTATGTATGATATTGTATGATGGTATTTATTATCATTCCTGACATCCTTGCAGTACCTGTTGCATGTCGAATGAAAGCCCCACTGAGAGTACCCTAGTGGGCGGCTTCAGCCATATGATATGGAATCAAGATGTTTGTTGCTGTTTTTGATTATTTTTCTAATCTGCAGCCATTTCTTGAAACATCCGGATTCTATGTGGGCACTATGCCGATAACGAAACCGATAACTCGCCGATAACCGTTTGGATATGTTTTCAGCTTTCATAGTCCCTTGCCCAGAGCCTGCTGACAAAACAGCTAAATTCCTTATCGAAGACATTGGTCTAGCCTTTCTTTTTGAGAACTATACATGTTAGCATTTTACATCCCAGCAAACAGAAGGCCGATAAAGATTAGAGATAGGTACACAAAATTTCACAAACCCACTCGAGATCGCAATGCCTTTGTCCGTGCTGACACGCGAGCTGTGAAGAAGCTCGTCATCCACTGCTTCTGATTTCAGCGAGTAGATAGCTCCGCTTCATGCGTCCACAATGTAAATGCGAATGCCAAAAGCATCTGGTTGAACAAAAAGCTGAAAACCGATAAGGTCTCCCCCAAAACCGATAACGATCAAAAACATCCTTAGCATAAATAATTGATTTTGACCGTGGCTCATATAATATATGTAGACCCTGTGATATATATATATATACTGTGTATATATAATGATATATAGATATATGCAACATTCGCACAATGAGATTGGAAACCAATACTGGTAGAAGCACTTGGGGTCCTTAGCTTGAAAGATCGGGTTGCCAAAATCAAGGTTGAGCAGGTTTGGAAACTGAACAGGCAGCGGTCAGCCATTTCTGATAATTTTGGATAGGAAGTCAGCTAACACGTGTGTGTGTGTGTGTTTTAAATGTACTGTAATTATTGTTGTATTTGACATTTTGGTGCCACAGATCTCACGCTTTCTACCTGCTGTTGACAGGTCTCACCAACAGAAGGCGGTGGCTTCCTGTCTGAGGTCGGTGGCTTTTGGATTACTGGCTACTTTTACTGTTGAATTGTGGAGAAATGTACAATGCAAGCACATACAAGACCAAACCACTGCTGTATCTCCCCCACATCAAAGCCTTGTATTCAAACAATTTTGCATGGCCAATTCCTTTCCTCATGGTTTTTTCCCATCTGCGACAGGAGCACGATTTGTGCCTAAGCATCGATGTGGGTGCGCTTGCTGCTGGGTGGCGATTTGAACCTCTTTGTTTGTGAAGTTCTCAAGAGATTCAAATCAATCGTTGCTTAATTAAAGCTGCATGATGATTATGAGGAAATTGGCTGCAGCTTTTTGCCTTCATGGATCTTTAGTATGTGGCCATATTCAATGGCTGTGTATTGTATAAGCTGCTACGTTTGCCGCCTTGCTCTTTTGACATTGCCCTGCAAAAGCACAAAGTCATCCATCGCAGAGGCGTGACAGGTTTCCAGCCAAATACACCCTGTATTTCTTGGCAGGCGGAAACGAGCCAGTGCGTCACTCAGTGCTCCTTTGTTTTCGGAGAGCCAAAGAACTACCACATCCTTGTCTGGAATGTGCAATACACATCACTCTATTTTTTCTGAGATACTTGTCCAGTCCAATTCATTTGGACTATGGAAGGATAATAGCCCTTTTCCCGGCTCAGAATCGCTGACACTTGAGGTTGATGTCAAAAAACAACGATTGATTTGAATTCTCCAGGCTTACAAACAATCTTTTAATATATTGGAACCATCAATATCCATCAATTACACGAAATAACCATCCAATCATGTTAATTGGAAAATTATATCTCATGCATGTAATGTTAATTATGTTCATTCCTAAAATTACTATGTGGGAGCCGTTCGAAACCCCTGTATAGAGACAGGCTTTAGAGAGGACATGTCATAAAGATTGATCAGTTTTTGGGCTGTTTTTACCTGGTAGGCGCAAGAAGGCGCAAGGGCGAGCGCAAACATGGGTCTCATTGGGGGTAATGACTGGGAGGTCCAAAAAGTAGAGAAAACGATAGGTATTGCGTTAAGGTGAGGTTTTTACCACTGAGTTGCACTACTGTACCACTACCACTACTACTACCACTACTACCACTACAACGACTACTACCACCACTACCACTAGCCACAAAGCAGGAGTGCTTTCCATCTTGAAGGTGGTGGTGAGGACATTGTTCCACTTGTAGATCTCAGTCAAGGAAGGCTGCGCTTTCCCATTTTTCATGTACAGGTGCAAAACCAAAGCCATGATCCAAGCTTGCAGTTCTCCTTCAATGATTTGATGTCACATTTTTTAAGTCTGACCACAATCAAGCTGAACATTTCATGGATTGTGAGAGAAGGCAAAGTTTTCCATTCAGTCTCAGACATGTAGTTCCAGGGCGTCAAAATGACCTGGCCACAAGACTGCAGCTTCAGATGGGAGGCATCATCTAATAATCCAAGGCCTTGGATTCAGCAATGGAGGCAAGCTTCTGAGTGTACGGCTCTGGCAGCTTGCTTTGCTTGACAGCATCTAGGAGGGCCAAAGTGTCCTTCATACCTCCCGGACAGCAGGCCTTCACTCTGTTCCCAAATTGCTCGACTATAATGTGCAAGTTGTTCTCATCAGGTTTGGTGGCTGCAAAAGCATCTATTGCCTGCAGCTCTTCAATGAGATCTGCCAGCATCCATTGGCAGCCAGGCATTGGCTTGCAAGAGAAGCTTTTGCCAAATCCACCTGTCCAGCAAATTGAGCAAAAAGGCTGCGGAAAAATTCCTAAATTTAAAAGCAGCCAACTGCAAGGCTAAACAAAATAGGAAGCCAACCATGGCTCAAGGTTGGAAAAAGTAATGAAGCCACATATTGCTAACAATATAAAGAAGCCAAATATGGCTAACAATATAAATAAGCCAAATATGGCTAACAATATAAAGGAGCCAAATGTGACTAACTACTGTTACTATTACTACTTCTACTACTACTATCACCACCACCACTACCACTACTACTGCCACTACCACTACCACTACCACTACCACCACCACTACCACTACCACTACGACTACTACTACTACTACTACCACTACCACTACCACTACTACTACTACTACTACCACCACCACCACCACTGGGAGAAATGACTTGGGAGGGCAAAAAGGTAGAAAAAACGATCGGATTTGCGTTTGTCCCACTGGATTGGATTACCGGACCACTACTAGCACCACCACTACCACTACTACTACCAGTACTACTACTACTACTACCACCACTACGACTACTACCACCACCACCAAGACCACTACGACCAATATGGTTTTCAGTGGGAGAAAGGATTTGGGAGAGCAAAAACGTAGAAAAAACGATCGGTTTTTGATTGGTTTAGCTACTAGCACTACTATACTACCAGCACCTCGACTAGTACGAAGTGCTACTACCACCACCAAGAGCACCAATACTGGTACCAATATCGTATTCACTGGGAGAAAGGACTTGGGAAGAGGAAGAGGAAAACTGTCAGGAAGGTACGAACGCTGCAAGAACGGCTATTTCCTTGCTATTGACAGTGCGTTCATGCCTCTCAGAAGAGGAATACGAACAATTCAAGTTAAAACACTGAAAAACGATAGGTTTTGAGGAAGGGCAAGGAGAACAGGACGAGGAAGAGCAAGAGGGAATGGAAGAGGAAGAGCTAGAGGAAAAGGAAGCGGAAAACAACAAAGAAGAGGAAAAGGAAGAGTAACAGGAAAAGGAAGAGGAAGGAGAATAAAGAAATAAAAATAAACCAAAAGGAAAAAGAAGAGCAAGAGGCCCATTATTATTTTTACTACTACTAACTACTACTTCCACGAGAGCTACGACTACTACCCCTACTACTCCTACTAGCGCTACCACTACTACTACTGCTACTGCTACTGCTATTACTACTGCTACTACTACTACCACTACGAATACTACTAGAAGAGAATAAGGAAAAGGAAAATGAAGAACAAGAGGAAAAGGAAGACCAAGAGGAAAAGGAAAGACACAGCAAGAGGCTAGTACTAATCCTACGACTAATACCACAATCCTACTACTACTGCTACTACTACTACTAGTACTAAAGAATAAGGAAAAGGAAAATGAAGAACCAGAGGAAAAGGAAAGAAGGAGCAAAAGGCAATACTACTACCACTATTACGACGACGATTACTACTACTAATATGGTTTTCATTGAGGAAATGACTTCGGAGCGCGAAAAAATAGAAAAAAACGATAGGTTTTGCGTTAAACTGAAGGTTTGTACTATTGGGTTGCACTACTATACCACTATTACTACGACGACGATATTACTATTATTACTTCTATTATTCCTCCTACAACTACTACTATTTCTACTGGTGCTACTACTAATATTAATACTAATGCTATTATTATTATTAATATTATTATTATTACGCCTATTTTTATTATTATTACGACGATTATTATTATTAATACCATTATAATTATTATTGCAACGATAATTACTATTATTAGGATTATTAGTGTTACTATTATTATTATCGTTATTATTACTGCTACTAATACGATTATTATTATTATTACTACTACTATTATTATTATTACTATTATAATTATTATGATCGATTTTGAATTTTTATTTTTTTTGGGTTTAATTTTTGCATATTTATCGAATATTATTTATAGATGAGGCAATAAGGTTTTATTGTAATATTTAATAATTATATGTATAAATGCCTCGTAAATTTAAAATTTGTTTTTGATATTTTGATAAAATATATTTGAATGGTATATTATCTTTCTATTATAGTGTTTGAATGCATGTATAAAGGAAGAAGGTTTTAGTATAATATTTAATTTTTGTATTTAATGGTTTGAAAGATTTTTGCATTTTTTGGCAATATTGTATTGAATTATTTTTGGTTTATATTTTTTTCTTGTGGTTTTTATTTTTATATGTATATTATTTATTTAGATTTGTTGTGGTTGCGTCGATTATTTAATTTATGTTTTGAATTATCTTTTGTTCGAATTACCTTTTGTAGCTTCTAAATAAAGGTCAAACTAATATTATTAAATTATATGGATTTTTTTTGCAAGCATCATGGACATCGTACAATATTGTAGATATATTGGAAACAATTTCTTGCATAGAAACATTATGAAAAGAAAAAAAAAATTGCAAGCACGAATTGGGTTTTCTTAAAATTGATGTTGCTTTAATTAGCTCGATTTTCAATTCTTTATCGTAATAATCCTGTTGTTGCTATTATTTTGCCATTTGCGTGGGGTTTAACAGAGGTGTAGTTGCTTCCGGGAATCATAATCTTGAAGTCATAAATAGTCGAAATAATGCTAGGCACGGTGTATATTCGCGATATTAATTTCGCTTTCCAAAATTCCAAAAATAATGCAAATTCGGTTCTTATGGGGTGGAATACCGGAGCTTTTTCTATCGATCGTTTGTATTGTTTGTTATTTGCCTTCGTGGTTTTTACCGTGGGTTTATCTACGAGTTTTGCGGCCATGCTGGAAGGCGAAGCTAAAGCCCAGGGAGATTGCTACCTTGCCTTTGCAGGAGGGCCCAGCTGAATACATACGATCCAATAGCTTATTAATATTATAATTTGTATGGTATATTTATACATTATATTCAGGAATATGCTTTCGGCATAATGCCTCAGACCTCTGGAATAAGGGACCGAGCTTAGCGTAATTCTAGATGGATGTGGGCTGGATTCTGAATGAATTTGTGTTGGTTTGGAATGATGTCTGGGCGTTCTGTCATTTCTGTTGCCATGCCCGCCTTTGGCTGGCTGCAGGCAACTTAGCGGGTCGTCAATTGACACTAGACTTGTTTCGGGCTCAGACGAAGTCCTATGTTGCGACGAAGCTTCACTATATTTCATAAGGTTTCGAGCTATTCATTTAGACTTGGAACAAATTAGAATAATTCCCATTAATAAAGAAATCAATTTAAAGGTATTGAAATAATTTGCGACTTTGACATTGCCTCTAATTACCACAGGCACAGCGCAAGCGGGTGGGTCGCCAACTAACGCCGGATTTATTTGCGGGTTAGAAGAAGTCCTTTGTTGAGAAGAACTATTCTTATTTAATGGGGGTTCAATCTTGGAGTTTTCATGAAAATTTATGCACTACAAATAAATGCAAAGAATTCGTAGATGTATATATATTTATACCAAAATATTGAGTCGATATAGATAATATGCCAATATCATTCCAGCTCATTGAATATATTGAATATAGTTTACAGAATTTTAGAGCATTTGGCCCCATTTTTGCATTGCTCAGACTCCGATTAGTCCGGATCTTTTGACTCCATCGCTCAGCTCTCAGGAAGCGACAGCTTGGTTGAAGCGTGAGTGTCGCGCATCAATTCCTGAAGCGGCAGTCCGGCAAGCGACAGCCACTCGGACGTGTATCCATTGGTCAACCTAAACGATCAATTGCAGTGGGTGGCTGTCCGCGCTTTCTGGCAATTCTGGCGCAACGCTCTGCGATCTGTGGCACTGACCTGTGTCCTGTTCGCCATCCGCCACAAAGGCTGCTGCAAGTGACAAAGAACTTGCAGAAAATTATCGATGAGACCTGTAATAGAACCGGTAGCGAGTGCCGCTATCGTGGCCGATCACAGAGAATGTCCTCTGTTGTTACATGAAATTCGTTGATGCGATGAATAGAAGCCAGACCCATGTTCCCTACTGACGGCTAAGAAGGAAAAAAGGTCCGGGATTCATCGGTTTGTCATTTTCTTCATTTGTTGATCTATCGGTTTCGAATTTTGAGGATCGTCTTTTTCCGTTGTTAGAAATAGCGGGCCGACCCTAGTATATTATAATATATATATATATTGAAAAATAAGATTATTCAATATTATAATTTTATTTATATATAAATATTTAATAATATATTTATGTGTTTTATTCTGCTCTAATCCAATTTATATATATTTGGTAGATACAACATGGTTAGATATTTATGCCTGTTTAAAATGTAATAGATATAAGGTATTTAGGTGGGGAAATTTGATTGTCGATATGATGCACGTAGATTTTTAAGGGGAACGTATTTGTTTCGTTTTTGAATTAAGAAGGATAATTGTTGGTATGTGAGTGTATTATTGTTAGGTATTAGTTTTGTATTTAAAATTGATAATGACATATGTATTGTTAGTTTCGATATAAATATTTTATAGCTTCAATATATGTTGTTAGATTCGATATATGTTGTTAGATTGACAGGACGCTGCCGAATTTTTGGGGTGGCTCCGTGGTTAGCACTTGACTGATTCTCTTTGGAGCCGAGAACACTGGGGTTGGCAAACCCGGCTTGCCCATAGCATCGAAGACCGTGGAGCCTTATTGGCACCTTTGCTCCTTCGTATGGCAGTTGAAAAGAGATGTGACCTGCAAATTATGATCAACATGTGGCATGACCAAGCTCCCTATACACACGCTTGTGTTCATGTCCACCCATGCATTGTGTTACAGTTCGAACGATTTCCAGACCTTGCCACGAAGCATGATGCTCCTGTGGACTTCTCACGTGCTGAGGTCCATATGTCGGTCTTCAACAACCCCATGGGCCAAGACGTGAATTGGGTCCCTTACCGAGTGGTGGCCATCTTGTGCCACTTTGATGATGAATCTTGGAGCGGCCAACCAATGTTTGTTTGTGAGCTCGGGCAGCTCGTGGATTACTGATGATGGCCGTGCACCTGTTCGATGCCCGATTGTTGATCCGGTACGCCGTGCTGCGTACATGTACTGGCTTGTACCGCAAGATGCACTCAGCTTGTGGTGGCGACGACCGGTCGAGGAACTGGCTGATCTGTCTGATCTCTTGGCTACGGCGTTCTCTAACTGAGCAGTTCGTTTGATTCGATTTTGCTGCTTTTCGATCGCACGTGACCGTGGCAATAGATGCTCTAGAAACACCCACCACACAAGTGGTGCTGCCCAACACGGGCCTGAACCTACTCAGGCTGGAAACGAATGAAAAATAGATATTTTATTATTACAAAAACAATAAATTATTGAATATTATATATAATGATATATATATATATAATATATATTTCTAGCACTTCTTGAAAAATACAAAAAACATATTTTAAGAACCCTAAAATACATTTTTAAAATCTATTTAAATAAAATGATATATCCATTTTCTTGGTAGGTATAATACGATTAAGTTTCTTTACCCATTTAAATTTATAATATTTGTAAGGCTTTTAGGTTGTCGACATGTTGCACGTAGGATTCTGAGGGGAAAGGAAATGTTTCGTTTTAGAAATTAAGAAGTGCAATTTTCGGCACCCTAATATATATTAATCTATATAAAGATCAATATATATAAACAGATTATATTTAATAAATATAACATGTATATAAAACTAAATATTTAAAATATGTAAATTATATATATTTAGAATTATATGTATATATATATTGAAGAAATGTCTATATATATAGTATTTTTTAAATAATATGTAAATTATATAACAATAATTAATTGAAATAAATATATAAAATTATTTTAATGAGATATATATTTGAAATATATATATATATTTATAGTGATTTGTTTCCGTCCCGCCTGGTCAATGCAATTTGGAAGAAGCCTCTTCCTATGCCGGCACACAATTTCGTAGATTTGCTTGGTGATCGTTTTGCCTAAGCTATGGTCTTTTTGACCTTGGATTCGAGTTGGCGCTTCGACACGCCAGACGTGTCCGGGCTCTTAGCTGCCTGCGGCCCAACACGGGCTATCCGAGGAGATAGCTGGAAGATGAAATGAAAAAATGATTTGATTATTTAACTATATCGATTGAATATATATAAAATAATTTTGTTAATTAGCATGCTTTTGGCAAGATATTTGATTGATTTTATTTTGTTTTTGTATTTTTGGTTTGAGGTATTGTAAAAAAAGATGGTAATTAAGGATTATATAGGATTAAGGATATATAGATAATAATTGTATTTCTATATATTATATTGGTAAATATTATGGTAAAAATATGATATATTGTTATTATGATATTTCTAAATCAAGATATGAGGAAAATTTTATATTAAGGAATCATAATTATGTTAAATAAAATAAATATAATCATTAATAATGAACTATTCCAATGAATTATTTTAGTTATTATTTGATTGAGGCGCAGTATATCGGATATTTAATAGAATTATATTTATTCGGTAGTGGGAATGTAAGAGAAAAGGGAGACGAAATGTGATCGTAAATGATAACGATTTTTTGTTTTTTTTTGAATTTTACGTATTTAGTTAAATATATATATATATATTTTATTTATGATAGGAAATATTATTTGATCTTAATGAATATTTTGAAAATATTGTGCAGAAATCATCTATTGTTTGAGGTTTGCTAGTACAAGAATAATAATAATATATGATATTATGGAAAAATCCGATGAAACATACACAATATATTTTATATTTAATTTTTTTTGGTGGGAATCTAAATACAAATTTATTTTTTTTATAATATAGATGATTTTATCCTTAAGGATATAGATAATTCTAAATAACGCCCGAAATATTAGATTGTAAAAAAATTGAATTGCTCAACAAATTATTTTTTTTGCATTGGCCACCTAACAATATGAGAATAAACAATAATATGCTATTGGCATTGATCTATCCCCCGGGATTTCATAATAATTATTTCCATGAATATTTCTTTGGAAAATTAGATCCTTAATTTTTTGAATAAATCTTCGATCTGCAGGCAGAAGATATAATATATTATAAACTAATAGAAATATACCGAATCTGCCCAAAAATACATTAACCTTTTAAAATTTTCAGATATCTATAACAATACTTAATTTTCTTAGACGTCAGATCTCCACAGAGAATACAAAATGTTGGAAAATACCTAAGATTGAAATAATTTTGTTTTATCTCGTTCGTCGTCCAACATCTATTTTTGAGGAACGATTTCGTCGATCCTATTCGTTTAGTATGCTGACCTCAAGCCTTCCTAAAATTATCAGGTATTTTTTTTGCCTTATTTTGATCCTCTAATTTTCAATTGTATCCATCTGTTTTGGCTGAAACAGGATCAATCCTGGGAAAATATCCTATATTAATCTTGGATTTCAATACAACCGGATATTTTAAAAGAATTTATGCCTTCCTGACCGAATGCTCATTTGGCATTTCGGATGTTGGAAAAAACATACCCTAGGTTGAACCAACCAAATTGAAGATGAAATGAAAATATAATAGGCATTAAGGTGAAACAAATTAACAAACGAATATCAAGAAAGGCAAATGGGAGAATCCTCAGGCATATAAGGATAATAATGAAGGTCACAAAAATTGGCATTATTGTGCCGGGTATTGATGTACGGTAGATTTCGGCATTCGTATTTCTACGGTCGATGAATGGGATGCGCATCTTCAGGATCTTTCGGAGGTCGCATAATTGGAAAATTTGGAATTTAGAAAATAAGGATGCATCAAATCTACCGTTTCAAACCCATATAAAATCGTTGAATGAATCATATCATTATAGATAAAAAAATTCTGATATGACAATTTGCATTGTTGAAAAATATGTGTCCAAATTGCCATAACTGCAGAAATCCTGCATTCAATTTCAATTTGATTATTTATATATCGTATGAGGAACCCCCGAGATATGAGATATGATCTTCATATACTATACGGATTCCGTCCCTAAATCTGACATCATATTTTCCATTCGTGGAGATAATTGCGCATTTATATTTATTGAACAAAAGACCGTAATATTCAAATTTATTTTCAACAACATATAATAATAATCGGTTCATTAAACCCGTGTTAAATATTTTCAATAATTAAAACCGTATCAATATTAATCCAATTGTCCATGATTGAGAGACCGGTGATATTCAGATCGAATATCCGAGAATATATTCGATATAATAATGACGAATAGACGAATAGATACGAGCTAAGGGGACAATCCTGCCGAATGCCTGCTTGCTACTCATAGATTCCAGATTTGAATTCGTCGAATTCAATTTGGAAAATGGGATGATTATAAATAATATGAAGAATTCGGAACATTTTCGGGAAAATATTCATTTTATTGTATCAAAAATTTCATTCATGCGGTTACGATTGATTTTGGGGTGATGATATAAAATATCTATTGTCAAATTAAGAAATCCATCAATAATTAATATCTATTCTATTCTACGATATCTTGGATTCGCCTAACAATATACAAGGATTATAATTAATTAATTCTAAATATTATATATAATGAATTATATATTTAAATATTATATTAATATCTATTAAAATATACAAATAATTCGAATATATAATTCGGGAGGTATGATTCGAAGATATAATTCGTAAATGATTCGTTTTTTTGAAATTGTAATTAGCTAGACTTCCAGCAATAGCTCCACTTTACACCGAGGCAATAAGCAAACAATATCTGTTAAATGCTAAACAAATTGGGCAAATCCATTTTCATCAAAGATTTCAATAACCCTATCCAAATCCCACCAAAACAACCAAAATGTGGAATGGGTAAGAAATTGTGTAGAAACATATAATTTGGGTATAATTCGTTTATCATTAGATTCTGCAAAAGAATGCAATCCTCTAATTCTTCTTTCCAAGAAAAAATACATAAATATATTATCATTATCTAAAATATATATTTCTATTCTTTCGAAAAAAATACAACCAATTTTAGACAAATTAAAACCCCATAAATCACACAATTACAAATATTATGCACCATTACTTCATACATATCTATAAAATATTAAATTTTAAAAAATCACCTTAGTACCTAATTCTTATATAGAAATGTTGATTTTAAAGAAATCATGTGCCACCATGCCTTGGAGAAGCATGGTACTTGTTTCATGAATGCCCAATGGGTTCAAACCGAACCACCGTCAGGGGTGGGAACTGCGCACGACTTGAAGCCATGATGGAAAATAGGGAGCGCTGACTTCGTGGGCATCGCTTCGACCGACCTTCGATTGGAACTTCGAGTGTTCGATCGTCTTCCTTTCTACAGCTCCAGCTACCAGAAAGTGACATTGGTAGCGGAGCTCCCATCCAGGGAGCTCCCGCGCCACTTCGCTACAACACAACCTACACATACAACATAACCTCCACTAACTACAACTACATCCATCTCTTCTTGCCTGACGAGACCTTTGTCCTTGTCTCCCTGGCAGGTGAGTTCACGCAGTGCGGCTGTGGGACGTCCATCGTCCTGAACGATGGCCACGGCCGAAAAGGAAAAGAAGGCTGACCTTGACTTTGTGTCAGCCCGAGACTCCTACATCCCCTTGTTCGATGGAACCTTGAGTGGTTACCGTGAATGGCGCAAGAGGATTCTCATTTACTACAAAAAGATGTGTTTGAGCAAGCGCCAAGGCGAGGCCATTCTCAACTTGCTTGGCTCGCTAAGCGGCACCGCTTGGAAACTATGCGAGGATTTTGACATCGAACAAGCAGAGAACGACAAAGCACTGGATCACATCCTGACCCGCCTTGATTCTACCTTTCGCTATGATAGCAAGGTTGAGCTTCCTGCGGACTTTTCCGCATACTTTGAGCACCTCCAACGGCGGCAGGATCAGACGCTCCTCCAGTTTGTGACCGACCATGATGACAAGTTGAAACAAGTTGAGAAGCACGGAGTGAAACTTCCGGACACCGTGCAAGGCTGGCACCTCCTGGCCAAATCTGGCCTGACTCGTGAGCAAAAGCAGATGCTCATGACGCAATCTGCGTTCCTTGAACGTGCAAAAGCCCAACAAGCTATGTATGCAATCCTGGGTCAAGACTACAAAGGTGGCGGACAGTCTGTTAACAGTCGTTGGCAGCGCCTCTTCAACTCGACCGGCAAGGGTCGAGGCTACTTCGCTGGTGAGGACAACGCAGTTGACCTCACTTGGGACAACCCATCCGTTGAGTGGGAACCCGAGGATGAGGGCACCTACTACCTTGACGATGAGCAGGTCGATAAATGGTATGATGAATTTGATGATGATGCCGCCTACTTCCAAGAAGAGTGCGACATCCAAGAGCATGATGGTGAATTTGATGTCTCCGAGTATGACGAGGCCTATGCCACCTACACGGACGCCCGCAAGAGGTTCAACGACCTCAAGATGAGCAGGGGTTTCCTGCCCATTGTGGCCCTGCAGGACCAATCTTCGACAGCAACTTCATCTCAAGCACCTCGACCTCAGTTCGGCAAGGGATATGGTTCTGGCTTTGGAAAGGGCAAAAAGGGCAAGTCCAAGGGAAAAGGCAAAAGCAGCACCTACCGCTACAACAAGCCTCCTGACAAACAAGCTGATCCCAAAGGTCGTGCTCGAAGCGCTTTGGCTCCTGCCTGCATGCGATGTGGCTCAACTGCACACCGAACGGCTCAATGTACTGCTCAGTCCAGCACTCCAAAGCCTTCAACAACTGGTTCTGGCAAGCGTCAAGCAGTTGAGAGTGTTGCCACACTTGCAGATGAACAATCCATGGTCATCTTTGAGGATTCCTTTGGACGTAAACGACCTGATTGTGCCATGCTAGACCCTGGAGCATCGAGCTTCCTCATGGGCAGTGGACCTCTCATCCGGTATGTGCACCACCTGAAGCAGCTCGGCTTCGACACCAATGACTCCAGTTGAACCGCTGTGAACGGACTTTCCACTTTGGAGGAAACCACCAAAAGGTCAGCACATGGACCTGCAAGCTTCCGTTCTACATCAACAACACCTATGGAGTGGTGCAAGGATTTGTTCTGAAGGGTGAAACGCCCAGCAGCGTCTGAAGTTTGGTGATCACCCGTGGCAACAAGCTGTTCTTGGCAAGCACGAGGAATACCTCCTGGCTCTCACGGACACCTTCGACAGCGATCAGTTGTCAATGGAGCCAAGCTTCGACCTACAGCTTGAAGAAACTCTTGGCGATCCCGGCACCTTCGACGACTTTCTCACTGAAGAGCACATCTACCAGGTCGAAGAATCCATTGAGGACCAAGGGTCTCCAATGCCAATGAAGCGCTGGAAAACGCTGATCTCCAACTCACAGACTCAGCTGAACCGACTTCATGCCTATGTGGACAATGTGATTCGTAAAGAAGGCCATCCACCACCTCGAGTTCTTTGGGAAGTATATGTTGGCAAAAGCAGACTCTCGCAACTGGCCGAAGCATTGGGCATGAAGGTCGAAGTCTTCTCCTTCGCCACTGGTTGGAATTTCAGCTTGGCAAGCCACCGTGCAGTATTCATGCAACGCCTCCAAGAAGAAGAACCTGATGAGCTCTTCTTGTCTCCATCATGTGGTCCATGGAGCAAGATGCAAAACATCTCAGCCACCACTGAGCAGAGAAAAGAAACGCTGTACACTCTTCATGAATGGCATCATCGTGTACACCTTGGCTTTTGCAAACAAGCATACTTGCAGCAAGTTCAACATGGACGCCATGCACATCTTGAACAACCAACTCAAGCACTCTCATGGAGCACCAACGCCTTGAGGCACCTTCCAGGTCTCAATGCTCGTTTTCATCAATGTCGCTATGGTTGCGTTTGCTGTGATATTGATGGAGTTTGGCGGCCCGCCAAGAAGGACACAACCATTCGCACCACGAAACGAGCTGTGACTGAAAGCATGAACCTCCTATGTGACCATAGTCATGAACACTGTCGCCTTGAAGGACACATTCCAGGCATTGGCAAGAGAACCTCCTACATGGAAGATTACCAACCTGCCTTTGCAGCTGTTCTGGGCACCGCAATCAGTGCATATGAACGACCTCAAGCTCAGGATGGCGCTTTCGCCGTCCAAGAGATGCAGTCATACCTGGGCAAACTGGTCGATCTTCATGCTGAAGGAAACAAAAAGCTTTGAGAGTGGTCCAAAGGCTGCACAGAAATCTTGGGCATCCATCCGCCCAGTCCTTGGTCGATCTTCTCACGGCCCGTGGAGCGAGTGCTACAGTCCTCTCCGTTGCTGAGAACTACTTGTGTTCTTCGTGCTTGCGCTACAAGAAGCCAAATCAAGCAGCACCTGCATCGATCAAGGAGGCACAGCACTTCAACCAGGTCGTGCAGAGCGACGTTTTCTGGATCAAGTTGGGTAAGAAGAAGATGCCTATCCTGGCCATCCTTGATGTTGCTACTCGATTTCAAGCAGAAGTCTTGTTGGACAGTGAACGCACTCAGGACTACATCAAGGCCCTTGAACGACATTAGGTAGCACACTTTGGTGTTCCTCAGCAGCTCATCACTAATGAAGGTCGTGGTTGGCTCAGCGATGAGTTTGGGCAATGGACTGATGAGCATAGCATCCTTCACAACGTGGGACCTGGCGAAGCACATGAGCGCCTTGGACACATTGAAAGACGCCACTCCGTTTTGAGAAAAGCCCTCGAGGTCTACATGCATGATTTGAGCCTTGAAGATGGTGATGGCGTCAAGCAAGCCCTGGCCTATGTTTTGCCTCAGCTCAATGCTCAGCCGACCGTGTCTGGCTACTCTCCAACGCAGTGGGTACTTGGCTATCAGCCTGCGCAACCCGGACTGCTCTCCTCAGTTGACTGTGCACTGAAGACCTCCGATGACTTTGAAGAACATCTACATCGACGCAACATGGCAAAGACCGCCATCATCCAGGCGGACACCGATCGTCGTTTGAGACGTGCACTGTTGAGGAGGTATGCAGGAACAAACCAACGTCTTCTACCTGGACAGATCTGCCACTACTGGAGAGACGCTCAACAAAACGATCTGTGTAAGATCAGGTGGCGTGGTCCTGCAAAAGTGGTCTGCGTGGAGGAGAAAGACGGCATGCCATATGTCTATTGGTTGGCTCACAAAACTCAACTCATCCGAGCAACTCCTCACCATGGGAGACCAGAGTTCAACCACCTCGAGAACACGGCAATTGACAACCTTGAAGATGCAAATCGTGTTCTTCAATCCTTGAAGTCTCGTGGAGTTACCCGCTTCATCGACTTGGACAAGGTCAACCGCCAGAATCTCCTCGACATTGATGAACATGAAGAAGAAGAAGAGCTTGATGAGCCTGACTCCAAAAGACGTCGGCTTGATGAACTACCGCTAGAGATTGAGGACTACACTCCGTCCATTCCAGATGAAGACTTTCATATGACTCCTGTGGAACCAGCGAGTGCTCCTGATCTACCTGGACCTCGTGCAGAACATGAAGACCCAGAGCCTCCGGCAACAGAACCTTCTGGACCTCCCGCTGATCTAGCTCCACCTCCTTCAGCACTACCTGCAGTACCAGAGATCAGCGACATGGAGTCGGAACCTTCTGCTGAACCTGTTCCACCAACACCGAATGCAAGTTCTGAAGCTGCTCCATCATTGGATCCTGTCATTCAGGTTGCATTTCAGAAGCCCGAGAAACCAGAGACCTTCCAGCAGCAGCGTATGCGTCTTGATCGACAGGAAACTATGTCCTTTGGTCCACAACGAACAGCACGTGCTTCAATGACTCCCTACATGAAGCCACCTCAGCCAGAGAATGCCGAGACAGTCTTTGAAATGGAGGATCTTGATGCAGATTCCCTTCCACCTGGATGGATCTTTCAGAAGGACACCAAGACCTTGGAATTGAAGAGCTCCTTAAAAGACTTCTGGGAAATCAAAAGTGGCTGTCTCATTCGTCACCACGTGAATCTACGATCCAAGCTCTTCGACATCCGAGACCGTCGAGACCTACCAATTCCTGTAGAAGACCTCGATGATGTGCAAGTGACGGTCTACCGGGAGCCAGGATCCAATCCTCACTCGGTGACGAACCACTTCAAAACCGAGAACATCTTCAAAAGCACCAAGAACTCCAAGAACGCTGCACCTGTTCCAAAGAAATGGATTGGTCAGACCATCTTTCAAATCACTGCCGCGAAATGACAAGAGTGGGGCATGATTTCATCATCTACAACCACATCAGCAACATCTATGCGCTTTGTGAGAAAGGCAGCCCAAGCAGCTAAGACTCATCACATCCGGCAGGTGAAGAAAGATAAAGGTGAAGTTCGTGAAAAGAATCTCAATTCAGCTGAGCTCCAACTGTTTTACGAGGCCAAGTGCAAGGAGCTGAAGAGTTTCTTTGAGAATGGTGTTTGGGAGTTCTCCTCAACCTCTGAGGCTGATCCTAATCGAACGTTGACGAGCAAGATGCTTTTGAAGTGGTCAAAGAATGCTGATGGCAGTCCGAGAGCCAAGGCACGCCTGGTGGTCAGAGGCTACAATGACATCGATGCATTGTCCGGACAGCTTGACACTGCAAGCCCTACCGCCTCGAGATTGGCCAGGTCACTCCTTTTGAGCATTTCAGCGATGCTTCGTTGGCATAGCTGGTCAGCTGATGTTGCAACTGCCTTCTTGCAGGGATTGCCACAACAGAGGAAACTATGGCTTCGTCTTCCGACAGATTGCAATGCCATCTTGGGATGTCAACCCGAAAGTCGCATGGCCCTGATCAAGCCCGTGTACGGACAACTTGATGCACCCACACGCTGGTGGCTTGAAGCCAAACGTCGGCTCACCCAAGAAGGTTGGCGATCTCATGAACTTGATCCTTGCCTTTTCACACTGCACCATGAAGAACCCTGCGGTACAATTCGACCTTGTGGTATGATCTGTCTACACGTTAATGACATGTTTGGTGCTGGAGATCGCAATTGTCAAACCTACTTGACTGCCGAAGGCCGACTCAAGGAGATCTTTGACTTTCGAATCTAGCAAGAAGACTCTGAAACCATGGAGTACTGCGGAGTGACCCACAATCGCTCCGACTTTGCCTGGTCCCTCTCTTCCCTCTCTCAGAAGAATTTCATCCAGAAAGTCAAACCGGTGACCATACACCAAGGTCGTGGACCAGAAGATGAAATGAATGAATATGATCGATCACAACTTCGTGCATTGTTGGGAAGCCTTCAGTGACCAGCTGTTCAATCACAACCACACCTCCAATGCAGTGCGAGCCTCATCAGTGGATAGCAGAAGACCAACAAGCTGAGAGCCATTGTCGAAGGGAACTCTCTACTTCGCTTTGCAAAGGAGAATAGCGACATCACCTTGCGCTATAAGCCCTTCGAGTCCATTCACTCTTGGCAAGACCTCAGCAAGGCTCGACTGAGTGTGATGTTTGATGCAGCGCATGCAGTGAGGGAAGACCATTCTTCTCAAGGAGGCTTCATCGCCTTCATCACGCCCGACACTGTCTTCCATGAAGAGACCTCCTACCACGTTGTTGATTGGAGATCGTTCAAACTGCCACGTGTGGCGAGAAGCAGTCTCAGTGCTGAGACCCAAGCCGCAGGACAAACATCAGACGCCAACGAATACATAGCTCGATTTTGGTCTTGCATCATGAACCCCAACATGGACCTCCGTGATCGCCTTCAAGAAAAGTCAAGTTTGTATCCAACATTGATCACAGACGCCAAAGCGTTGTACGATACATTCCACAAGGAATCCTCCTCAACCAGCTCCTCAGTTGACAAAAGAACATACCTGGAAATCCGGGTAGCAAAACAGCAGATCACCGAGCTGGGTGGCAACTTGCGCTGGGTCTCTAGCGAACGGCAATACGCCGATGGACTCACCAAAACAAGCACGAGATCTTTGCTGGTTGATCGTTTGCGCTATGGTCGCATCAAATTGGTTTGGGACCCCAGCCAGCTATGTCAGTGCAAAGAAGAAAACGAAAGAAGAGAGAGACAAGAGCAAACAAGAGTTCGCAAAAGAGCATAGCAAGAAAAGAATCACAACAACATCCACAAACCACAAACCACAAACAAGCACAACAAAAAACACCACACAAGCAGAGCAGGAGTTCGATGACCTTGAACGGACTCCGGTTCAAGCAGTGGCGTGGAACAATACATCTTCCTCATCGAAGATTCCCTTGACAGCCTTGGTTTGCTATACCCAGGTCAAAGCAGTGTTGGCTGGTAACCATTTCATCCAGGCCTTGGACGTTGACACATGCCCTGTTGAGCAAGAATATTTTTGGTCGCCTTTGGCTGTACTCTGCACGCTCCTCATGCTCTTCTCAGCGATTCTGAGCTTTGCTACCTACAAATTTGGCAGGTTCCTCGAGCGCCGCCATTGGCGCAACTTGGTCAACACCCGAATCCGGGTGACGACAGGTCGGCATGAGAGGCATAAGCAGGCCCTGAAGGACCAGCTGAGAGATCTTCATCTCCAACATGTGGAGAAGGTTTGTGAGCTCGAAGAGCGCCTTGCAGAGCTGATCGCGCGCAACCAATTTTTGCGCACGGAGAACGATGCTGTGTTGGTAGAAAACCATGCTGACCAAGATGAATTAGCAGAACTCAACGACCGGCACCGTCGCAGCTGTGCGCTCTTCACCAGAGCTTTCCGAGAGATCCAAGGGCACCTTGAAGACTGCCCGCTTGAGCATGGAGTGGTGACCACACCTTTTGGAGCCGCCTGGCATGCTGAAGAGACATGTCGCGGCACTTCCCGCTCCGGCCGTGTTGTGAGACGACACGCCTGTAATTTTTGTGGTCCAGGCGTTCAGACGCCTTTTGTTACAAATTCTGTGAGCGGCACCACCTTGTACGAAGATTTTCAAGAATTTGTAAGACAAGAAGGCAGGTGCTCGTATGAAGAGTGGATTGTGGACTAATTTGGTCGAAACAACCACCGATGTTAATTTTAAAGAAATTATGTGCCACCATGCCTTAGAGAAGCATGGTATTTATTTCATGAATGCCCAATGGGCTCAAACCGAACCACCGTCAGGGGTAGGAATTACGCACGACTTGAAGCCATGATGGAAAATAGGGAACGCTAACTTCGTGAGCATCGCTTCGACCAATCTTCGATTAGAACTTCGAGTATTCGATCGTCTTCCTTTCTACAGCTCCAGCTATCAGAAAATGACAATAAAATATTAACATATATAATGCGAAAAAACACATATATAATTATTCAAATCGAATTTCCAACCATTACATCAAGAATTATATACCAAACAATTACAAACCCATCCAAAAAAATAACTAATATAACAAACATATACAAAAAAACATATCATATATTTATCCATAATCAAATTAATATCAATTTTACTTAATACCATCAAAATTATACTTTCCTAATTATAATCTTGCCATTTTAATAATATTCTAAAATCATAATTTAAAATATTTAAAAGACATATTAAATTTGAATATATAAATTATATATTCATTTGTTTTAATAAATATAATTTAAAAGGAAGGAGATACGAAAAGTAAGATAGCGAGAAGAAAAGAAAACACGAAAGGCAAACACAAAAATACAATGTTCGACATAGTAATTTATCTCCTCGGAAACGACCTTTCGTAAATATATATTTATATGTATTCTAAATATTCAAATATATACTCTCGAAATGTTCAAAAAGATTCTTAGGAAAAAATAATTTGCCCCATAGCTCAAGTATATATCCCCTCGAAAAACACCTTTTAGAAGTTCATATTCATTCTTTCTAAATGTTCAAGAGGATTTCAATTATCCTAAAATCATGAGAGGTTCACGAAGACGTTCTCCAGGAGAGAATTAATTTTCGAGGGGGGGGAGGGGGGGGGGTCTGTATTGAACTTGAGAGAAGAGGGGGGTGAACGAAAGGTAGCAGGGAATCAAGCGTAATCCGGGAGGAGGTGAGAGGCCCCCCACTTGTTTGAAGAGAAGTGAGTGAGCGTGAAAGAAAGACTAGTACACAAACGCGACGTGCCTTCAAAAGGAGTCACATATTTCTCAAATACAACTTCGGATTTACATAGTGACGTGCGGCGACCCTGTAAATTGCGTGGCCGCAGGCCATGCTTGCAAACAGGACGTGCTCAAAAATACTGGTATTTACAAGGTTTCGTTGCCGTCGATCCATAGCCGCGGCAAGGTCTAAGGCCACGCTTGAAGACAGGAGCTGAAAACACTGGTATTTACGGTATTTTGTAGCCGTCGATCCAAAGGCGCACCACGGTTGAGCGCTAGAAAAGCGCAGAAAACCGTGTAAATACCGGCGTTTTCTGCCGGGAAGGTGCACAAAACCCTGTAAATACCATAGTTTTGTGCAGTTTTGAAGCCTCCAAAAGCCTCAAAAACCCTTTCTAACAAAATCTTTCCTGGTTTTTGGTCTTTTTTCGGTCATTTTTCTAACCGAGACGCATCAAAAACCATCGGTTTTTGCGGTGTTTTTTTGCCGGACAGCCACAAAAAACGCTGTAAATTCCATAATTTTTGGTCACTGCTAAAGACTGGAAGAGCTAAAAACACTAATATTTACAGTGTTTTCGAACGGTTGACCCGGTCCCCGAGGCGCGCTAGAGTGGAGTTGAACCCCGGCCAGCAAACGAAGATGTCGGGGACCATTTCTCCGAGAGATAGGCTGCAGGTCTGGGTTAATACATTTTTGCTAAAGCAAAAGGAAAACTCAGGTAGCGTAACCGCTACCTTTCGTGAAAATCAATTCCAAGGGGGCGGGGGGGTGGGGATCTGTATTGAAACATCAATTCGAGGGGGGGGGGTGTTTGAATTAAGCGATCAATTATTAGACCCGGACGTCCCAACACTTGCTTCGCAAGACAAACTCAAGGTATCCCCTAAAGGGCTACCTTTCGTGATATATAATATTTATATATTTTGATTTCAAAATAATTATATATTAATTCGATATGGATATTTTTATTCTTTGCGTAACAAAGAGCCCAATCCAGCAATCTCTTCATCGTCCAGGTCAGTGGGCTCCGTATCCATCAGTTGATTGTCCGGCTCATCGCCAGGTTGCTCCGTGGCGGCTTGTTGAACGGGACTTGGCCTGAAGCTTTGGCTGGGGAGCAAAATCCGAAAGCAACCGATGGAATTTGGTGTTGTTTGTTCTTGGTGGCATGCCCTCCATACCTGTCCACCCCACACCACCTTTCGGAACACAGATTAGGAATCAATTTGGCAAATTAACAAACAAACCAGCAAGCTTTTTAATGCCGGGAGCGTCCAACAATCCCAAGACATTGAAGTGTGTTTATTGTTTTTTTTTCGCGACGGATGCTCCCCTTCCTAGTTCTGCATGTCATGCTGAAGGATGCTTAAGGTCTAAAATTATGTATGTAGTATATATATATAAACAATTCTGAATTGCTTACGAAAGTCCCGCGTTGACAGTTCCTGAAGATGGTACTGATTGCGTGAACAGCTTTGAGGCAGTGTTGTTGCCAAAGGGCATACATAAGCAGTTGCTGAACATGTATTCACCTTCCCCCTCCAGAAGGGAAGCATTGCAACTTTCCGCGCTACAACCACAAGGACGTCAAAACAACTACTGTGCAGCATTGTAAACTTCGTTCCTGTGTAAGGCATGCAAATGTATGCTCATCATTATCATGTTGTATTCGTGTGCACCTGTGGATGAAGCGGCATTCATGGAGGAAATTCTAGCATATACAAAATCAAAAGTACGTACAAAGTGTATATTATACACATCAACATTGATGCAAAACCGCAAACTTGAAAAAACAAGGCGGCCAACCAAAGCCCGACCAGCGTCACATAATTATTATCAGGTGCGGATTGGGACCATTGGGACGTTTCCTTTCGAGCGCAGTTCTTGTTTAACAATGTCCTTCTGGAGGAAATGCACACCCAACAGAACACAAGGACCCACCGCCGGAATGGACAGGTGCGGTGCAGAGGCCTCTATGACCTCAATTCCTGAGAAAGCACTGGTGAAACTCTTGCAACACGAATGGTTTGAATGTAATATCGCGATATTGCTATTCAAGACAGGTGGCTGCGGTTGAACCTCAGGCTGGCCCTCGATGTGAGGCCTTTCCAAACGCAAGAAATCAGTGGAGACAATGTAGCGCACACACTGCAGGATAGCGGAATAGTACCTGAGCAGGTTTAGCAACACAAAATAAGCAAGGGTCAAAAAAGTACTAGCACATGCTCATCCTTGCTCACCTTTTTTTGCATGCAGCCCATCAACTTGCAATTGCGTTTCAAGCCTATGCCCGGCTTAGTTGCTGTCTCACCAGCTTGAACTGATCATGCATTTGCATAATAATGCGACTAGTGATGAATTAGATACTGTTATTACACATTTGACAACTCTTTTCCACCCACTCTTCCTGTTTCGCCCGCCTCTCCACGTCAGGTTGTAGAAGCCTTCTCAGCAGCCCATCCCTCCGTTCTCGTGGATCCCTAACCACATAGGGTTCAACGCGAGTAGGGCGAAGCTGCCGAGAACGAAGAGACCCGAAGACGCCACCAGCTGGACCCTCGCCTGCTAGGAATGATTGAATGTACGTAGGGGAACATATTTTTTTTGAATTTGATATCCTTGATACTAGTAGCGATGCACTTGCTACTAGTAGCTTAAAGGATTAGACATGTACTGGCTGCCCCTGCAAGCTGTCAGGCTCAGGTCTAAAATAAACAAGCCTTGACCAACAAATGTTTCTTTATCTTGACTAGCTTCATCTGGTTCTGTCCGGTCTCAGGGAGAATGCCTCACTCCTCTAATATCGAACAAGAACTTTCTCCACTTCCTCAACTTCTCTACGAATCAGTGCATGAGGCCGTCGGCCTTGACAGTCTTGACGTTTCCCACTCTCTCTTTCTCTCTCTGTCCCTCCGACTTGGAACCATAATAAATGCAGCCGGTTGGAATTCGAGCCCGTTTCCAACAACGCACGCTGATATATATCTATACAAAATGGATCAAAATGGCCTCCCACAACCCAAAGGGCCGAATAATTATATAGATCCGAATAATTCCGAATAGGATGCGCGTCACAAACCCATCCCCAAAATCAACATGGAAGCGGATGCCTGATAGTAGGTTCATCAACCAGCTGCTCGTGTACAAGCTGTAAAGAAGCGTAGTTTACACCTACTATGTTTGAGGGCTGACAGCTTCATCATCCCACAAGAAGCCCAACTGGCAGAGTTGCTCAGCTGTCACTTGAATTCATATTGAACTCATGTCAGCCTCACAAAGCGGTGGCCACTTACAACAAGCCGGCAGATTCCCTCTTAGGTATTTTAGTTTAGAATGCAGCAGCAGCAGCAGCAGCCGAATCACCTTCGGAACACTCGGATTCAAACGTCAATGGTAGCGAATGCAAGGAGCATGCATCCGCCAAAGCAAAACATAACATATCCTTGTCCAGCTTCACCTACAGTAATTTCTGCAGGGCCATGATTTGGACTGAGGCATCTAAAGTGTCGACTTGGGCTGAGCTGTTTTGCTTAAGACGTTTTTGGAAACAAAGCTCACCGTTTTTCTTGTGCAACTGCGCCCAAAACACCGCACCTACAAAGAATTTGTGAGCAATGTTCTTGGGGGGCATACGAGGGGCTGGGTTGGCATTGCCTGCAGCTTTCTACAACAAATGAGCTTCCAGAATGTAAGTAGAAGCTACTAGGAGCAAGTAGCTACTAGGGGCTGCTGGCATCGCTACTAGGAGCAAAGAAGCTACTAAGGGCTCCTGACCTTACTACTAGGAGCAAGTAGCAAGTGTCCAAATTCTTCGCCAGCCTGGTCGTCCGGCACGGTTCGCCAGGGAGGAGGGAAGCGCCCACCAGGCAGTGCTGCTAATGACTTGCTGTGCGCTTGCTCCGCTGTGTTCATACTGGCAGTTCTCTCCATGAAAGCAAAAGCCACGCTCAAAAAAGCGGCAAAGACCCCATTTGAACTGCTGTGTTGGTGCCACATTGACATGGTGCTGAATACCAAAGGGCGCCTCCAAAGGCACGCAATTGGCCACCACAGATGGCAAAGGCACAGCGTAGGTAGGGTGATTGTGATGCCTCTCTTGATCCCCATCATGATCCAGTGTCCACCTATTCTTGCCTTTTCCTTTCTTGCCCGAAAATTTGCCCTTTCCTTTTCCATCTTTTCCTTTCCACTCCTTACCCTTCCCATCCTTTCCTTTCCATTCCTTGCCCTTTCCCTTGAACTTTCCCTTCTTGCCACAGCCTTTGTACCCAAAGCCCTTTCCACTTCTTTCCACACCATGGGTGCGACGCAAAAGCTTTTCCAGCATGCTGACCTTAGGTGGATCAGGAAGAGCACCCGACAATCGCCGTTTCTCCTCCATCTCTGCCTTCCTCTGCAAGTTGCCTTTGCTGGGAAAATTGGCTTTCCGCATGGCTTTCCAAGCAGCAAGCTCCTCCGGTGAGTCTGTGACGCTACTTCCATCCGCCGCTTTCACATGCTTAAGCCTATGGACGGCCATCACAAACTCAGGCCCTGAAAAGGAGCAGCCGTCTTCTGGACATGGGATATGATCATCTTGAACATGTATGTTGTATTTTTCCTCGTTCCAAAAATCTTTGTTGCATAAATTACAGAACCACTTGCTGTGAGTCACAGCCATGTTCCGGCGAGATGTAAACCTGGAAGCCTTGCCCCAACCTTTGGGAACGGCAGGTGGCGGAGGTGGTAGAGCAAAGTCACCCGGCATAGGGGGTGGCGGCAAGTAGCTAACCTGCGATTGGTTGTCTTCATCATCTGAGCTATGAGAAAATAGTTCAAATCGGCCCTCCCTTTCAGTAAAGTATCTTTCATCTTCCTCATCCTCATCCCAAGTCTGGTAGTAGTCATAGTCATAGTCATCCTCCTCATACTCGTGCCAAACGGGTTTGGGGGGAGGTGGCGGGCGCGGCAACCTTGGTTCTGGTGGAGGTGGAGGGTCTGGAAACCTTTGTCTTTTGCTCTGACGTGTCTCGGCTGCCGGTGGCAAGGGTGGTGGAAGTACCCTTTCCTGGCTGACACTTCTAGCACGTTTCATTGTGGGTGGGGCGGGTGGCACAGGTGGAGCAGGTGGGGCAGGTGGGCCAGGTGGGATGGGTGGGGTGGGTGGGAGGGTTGGCACACTGGGCGGTGCAGGTGGGGCTGGTGGAGCTAGTAGGGGTGCTGGAGGTGTCACTGAAAGTGTTGCTGGAGGTGTTGGTGGAACTGGTGGCACTGGTGGAGCTGGTGGAGTGGGTGGGGTCGGTGGGTCTGGCGGAGCTGGCGGATCTGGAAGCTTCCCACGCTGTGACTGGGGCTTTGACCCGCTGCTCTTTGGCAATCTGCGTATCTCTGAGGTACTGCGAGACTCTGCGTCCTTTGATCGAACCCTTCGATCATTTCGGTCTTTTGGCCGCTCTTCAGGGCCCTCAAAGCCAGCCCGATCGAGAAAGTCACGGACTCGATCTAAGGTTGAGAGCGGCGAGATCCTCGATGGTGGGGGTGCCGGTGGTGGCGGTAAGGACTCACCATGGTAAATGGGCCGCCTTCGAGGCTCCGAACGTGGCCCCATGGGGAGCGAGTCGAAGAAAGTTGAAGTGTTGCCTCATCCTCTGGCCCGTGAAATTACTGCCAAAAGCAGTTGATCTACAGGAATAACATGTGGATTGACATCTGAGGCACTGAATGAATGGATAAGTTCAACCAAGTGAATTTCTATGCACACGTGCTGCCCATCCCGGATGAAATGGCAATCAGGAAACAATCATAATGCCCTGCTCTGCCAAGTCTAGTTACTAGTCTAGTTGCATAGGTCTGCCAAGTGGACAGCTGCTGCCCAATACCATGCTTACTTCAGACTGCTCTAAGTCTTTTCTCGGAGCCTGCCGAACAAATTGCTTCAATCGCCACTTCTTTGGCGGCCTAGCAAACACAGGCGATTGATCATCGCGCAGGGTGTTCTTGAGTATCAATGTAAAGAGACTTGCGATGCACTACTGCATACTCTTCTGAATTCAAAGGTTCTACAGGAGAGACTCATGGCAACCTGTGGCCACTGACGCACTTCTGGCATTTCGCCGGCAGTGAAAAGAGCCAGGCTCGCAAGGTTAGCCTCACCATGCGCCTTTTCCGATAGGAATGAAACTCCTGCATAGCCCAATTGAAACTTCTGGTGATGCCCCCTTCTCCTGAAGTCCTCGCTCCTGCCTGTACACGGGCCAATTAAGATGTTGAATACCTCTGTGGCCAAAAAGCTGAGTGAGACTCTGTGGCCATCTTTGGTGGATTTGCTACCTTTGGACCACCGACCGACAACCAAGGCAGCAGTGTGAGTAAAGTGTTACTGTGAATGTCGAAGGAATGTAGAAGTTGAATCAGGAATTTGAGGGTGTAAAGCAAACACACATGACGAAGTGCAACTAAGCAACTCATTTCAAATTGCAACTATAAAAAAGAAGGATGAACAAACTCTCATCTCTGTGCTTTGGGCTTGCTGCAGCTGCTTTGCAAAGCACCCCAAGCCCAAGCCAGGTGATTTCCCAGCAACTTGCTTAGATGGATCCTATTGATCCTGATGTCTTCTCACAATCGCGAACAATTAAAGCTTGCAGCAACCTCAGGAACAGGATGCTTCTGCCTCTCAGCTTCCAACAACACTGATTTCAGCAAACCACTCAGCTACGAGCTCGAAGTAAGAAAAGGTGCCATCCTCTTCACCCAGTGCTTCCTCAGCTGCAAAAGGTAGGCGTAGTTGGTAGTCGCCTACTTGGCCTGGCTCTGCAGGTGCACGGCCGCCTGACTGCATTGATTGACTTGCGGCCTTGTCATATCACTTGAAAAATCACGTGCAGCTAGGGTTTCTGAAAGCCACTTGGATCACCTTCCATGCTTGCGGTCCATGCCGTGCCAAGAGTCCGCAAGACCGTCGATCTGAACATCACTAAAGGTGCGTCGACTCTTGGTCAAAGAAATGTCAATGCCTCTGAGCACCTGTCCCAAGGCTTGAGGGGGATGTGGGCCCATGAGCACAAAGCTGAAATGGCATGCAATGAAATGGCTGTGAGGCTCTGAAAACAAAATATCACAGCATCATCACACTAGACTACTCTTCAAAAGGCCGGATCAGTACCGCTCGCACCCTGCCTCGGCAAAGGCAGAGCATCTGATGCGCCCAGTCAGCTCAGGATCCGCCTCTCGTTCCAAACTTGGACTACCGTATCAGCTCCCACATGTGTTGCCCACTACATAGATCTACATAGAACGTTTGTGCAGGCTGCCAGGCTGCTCGTGCCTGCCTGTTGGCATCTTTTTTACATTATATATATAATAAAGGAACATACATGCACACACACATATCATTATGGCTAGTAACAAATAAATATTAACATATAATAAAGTGTTGCGGCTCTTATCCAGCAAGCGGTTACAGTCTGAATCAGTGCTAGCAGCTCTGAGCATCTTGAATCAGCGCACTCATCTACGAGCCCATGTTCAAAAAGGTCTCTGTGTCGGCATTTCTGCTGTTTTCCCCTCAGTCTATGTTGCTCTCTGCTGAGTTCAGCTTTCACTTTCTGAAACTGTCGGGTGAATAATAGTAGTGTATGTGGGGCTTAGATCACTCAAAAGTAGGCCACCCCTGGGCAAAACCAAATGCAAACATGGCAGCCTTCCTCCGGGCCAAGACTTATATAGGTGCAAAATGCCACCCAAACCCGCTGGCCAGCGGCCAGTCAATGGCAACACAAATTCATGCCAGCGACCCACAGCTCCCACAAAGCGCCTCGTGGCAGCCACAACAAACAGCATGCCTGTTGCGGTACCTCGCAACTGGATCGGTGAAAAGATTGAGACAGGTCGGCAAAGCAATGACTGTAGTATGATTGAGCAAACAATTAGCAGGGGACGTTGGACTGCATTCATCAATTGAACAATGTGAGCTAGGGTCTGATCTCAACTAAAGAGTGCACATTCAGCCTGAAAAGTCACACGCAGCAGTCGTCCGTCAAGCAAATCAGAAAATAGCAAAAAGAGTCGCGCCAAGGTTGCAAATGTCCCCTGGCCCTGTGGGCGCACAGGAAGCTGAGGATATGCTCACACATGAATTCCTCTGCAGCATCAAACTCCTGCAGAGTACCACGTGGAAAGCATCACCTATAATCCGATATACTATGTATATATATATATATGTGTGTGTGTGAAAATGTGAGCGGCGGACGGGAAAAGTACTTTAGGTTGGTCCTTATCGGTTTCCAGCGTTTTGGAATGCAGGCAATAAGCTACTTTCAATCAAGAAAGGGTATCGGCATAGGGTTGGCCCCGATCGGTTTTGCAAGGTTTTGACCAATTCAGAAATACTTAAGGCGGCTCATGACTAAAGTACACGTATATACGGAAGTTTTGTCGGATGCTGACATATTTATGACAAATTGAAGGCAAAGCAGCCACAAAGTCGAGGATAACATTTCCCAGGACTACTGTACACACACTTAAAAGCTCCTGCCCAGGTGGTCGCTCCACGACGAAGGCCTGGACGGTGCAAACAATAAAACTTGCCATGGGGCTAAATATACAAGTCGGATTTCTAAACGGCAGGTAGCTGTGAGGAAAGAGTCAAGAAACTGATCACATCAAAGGTTCTCGGAGCTAGCGCCACCTATTGATATATGATACTGCAAAACCCAAGTGAGAAAAAGCAGGAAGCTCCAGCCTCCAAGAAACTGAAGAGGTTCACCTTTCATGCCGTGTGGATCACTCTCGAAATCCAAATGCATTGAATTGCTAATGTTTTACGGTTCACCAGTTCTGCCTTAGCCAAGAAAATCAAGTCTTACTTGAGAAGCAGGAAGGAAAACGAGAGCAAGTTTCATTGCACTTGTTGGTGATATCTTCTGCATCTCTCTAAAATCATGCAAAGTAATATGGTAGCAGAAACCGCAAGTAAGCGCATTTGGAAACAAAACAAGCACAACAAAACACATAGTAAAAAGGGAAAGTAATTAGAAGCAAACACACAGCCAAAAAGGGCCAAAAAGCGACACAACAAATTACAGAACATAGACAAAAACAGCCAAACATCACACACACAATCACAAACCTTCTCTGGTTGTGCCAGGAGGTTTGCGTGTGGTGGATGTGTCCTTTGACGCAATCCAATCCAGCATCCTCATGGAATATATGGCTCAAATACGAGTATTAAAAGAACACATGAGAGTTCCTCTACTGAGGTCCTCTCAATGGCAAAAACTAAGATAGTCCACCTGGCCAGTTTCTCGGCCGCTGAGCTGGTCCAGCTTCAGGGCAAGCTCGTGCAAGTCCTCCTCACCTGCAATGTCCAAAGATGACACCCTTGGACCATCGTAAAGGAGGGGGGCCTTTTGTGGCCTCTTCCAAGCCACATGTTCAAGGCTCACTGGCTCCCATCAAACTGATTTGTTCGCATCATGTTGTGAAATGAGTTAATCAGCGAAAATTTATTGACCTCATCAATCATGTTGAATACCCTGAATGCTGGAGCACAAACCATCAAACACCTGTTAGCATATCCAAACATGGCAGCACGGCTCACAGGATGTCCCTTGTGCATCACTTCTTCGATGCCCTCAAGTCCTTCCATCTCAAGTTGGAACATTCTGCTCGTGCTTCCCTACTGATAGTGAAACAAGAGACGGAAAAAATTGCACAAATCAGCAGTTCTGTATTGACCTTCTAGCTGCCCAGCTACCCAGCCATACCATACAACATAGAGTGGTCTGAGTTTCACCTGGCAGCCGATGCCGCACATCACGAATTATATATATATTATAATATTCGCGTCCTTTGAGGCAGTCGACCAGCTCTTGCCGCGAGAGCAGGCCATTTCCAGACTCATCGCCAGACTCAAACTGGTGTGCCCTTAACTCCATGATGCTGCGACGTGCTGATCCTGAAAACTTGCGATTTAATGCATTATGCCCAACTAACCTGCTTGCAATTCGATCAATAGTCATGGCACCGATCCGGCAAATTGAATAACACCAAAACATGCTGATCTCGCTGTTCGCTCACAACACATGTATGCAACCCAGGCTTTACAAAACTAAGCCATGGGACAAGCGCTGAACCTGCAGGAGGGTCTTCCGCGAGTGTGTGCTAGCACCCGTTCTTACCTGCACAAGTCATAGCCCGAGAAACTTGAAGTGCACTGCATGGTTTGCCCAAACATGAGCAAAACAACACGCTTTCTATGCGTGCATTGTGGCCCGACATTCTTCAAAGACATCGATTGCTTTCAATGAGTAATGTCGAAGCTGAGTGTGAAGCAAAACGTTGCAATGATGAAAAAGGCAAAGGCTGCAAAGTAAGGCTTCTTTGAAGAACGCTCGCTGCACCGGCTGTACCAAACAGTTGACAGATTTTGAAAGAAATTATATAAACTGATCTCATGAGACATGCCCATTTGAGTGTGTGCACTGCTTGCACAACCTGCATGTAAAGAATGCAGTTAAACTGGACAAGAAGGGAAATGACCGGAGTTGAGTTCTGCTGAGAGGTCATATTGAAGCCATGAGAAGTCTTGCAGCATTGGTGCTCGGGAGACTGCCCGCTCAAATGAATTGATCGTCATCGAGGTCTTTCTATCTTGCTTGAGAAGCAAGTGCCCCAGGCTTCGCAAGGTCGTTCTCCAATCTGACAAGGTGTCATCACCTTGAACAAACAAGACTAGCAGTGTTGAAATAGTGGCGATTTATGTTTTGGTGTAGCGGCCAAAGCAACGTCAGAAGGGCCGACACAAGAGATTTTCACTGTGAACATAACGCCAAAAATGCAAAAAAGCAAGACTCCTATCTGCCAAGGCTGAACCACTGACAGAAAGAGAGAGAGAGAGAGAGACTTTCAATGATGTCACCCCAGAAAGTTCCGAGCTCCAGGCCTGTCATGGCTTTTGCCTGGCGATAGATCACCTGAAACATGAACGTCACAAGTGAACTTATCACACCTCAATGTCCAGTGGGAATGAAGAGCCCTGTCCCCACTGAAGTCTGATTTTGAAGGATGAGTGTATTGAATAGGGAGGCCCCCGAACAGGAACGGAAAGAGTAAGAATAGACTGAATATCGGTAGGTCTCCCAGTATAATAACGCACATCCGAATGCGGTGCAGTCACATAGTTGTCCTATTGTAGGAAGATTGCATACAACACCCCTCTTCAAGATCTTCTGCCGCAGTGCCTCAAGGTTTTTATTTGGTACTTCATAGTATTTCATAGTCATCATTTTCTACAAGTTCAGGTGTAATCCGCTTCTTCATGGCAGTTGTTGCCAACGATGCATCAGCGTTCAAACTTCAAACGTTCACTGTGATTATGAAACGGGGGCTTCTTCTTGTTGCGAAGAACCGCCACACTAAATGGCATGCACAAGCGCCACTGTTTCACAATATTCCAGAATCCAACCACAGCAACCTCGCATGGGTTCTGGGAGGCGACAAGCTGCGATCTAGAGGTGGTAAAGCAATGATCGACATGATAACATCTCCATTCCCAAGTGACCTGGCCATCTTGCAGGTTTCCAACCTTTGATGCAAAGGCGAACATTCTCCGTGAACCCCCCAAAGCTTTGCTGAACAAGTTGCGGTGAAACGCTCAAAAAACTCGTGGACACTCAAATCCGTGTCCTCATCACCTGAAACTGGTCGATAGATCAAGCAAAACCGCAGGAACGAAGCAAACTTGACAAGCTGTGGCTAGCCCCGTGGTGTCAAATACGCCTGCTTTCAGAAGCTGCAGTTAATCCGGAACATTCCGCTCTGTATATAATGTAAGAAACTTTGGCCGCCCTCAACTTCCTCAACATACCAAACAAGCAAAGACCTTGGCCAACTAAATTTATGCAATTTCGTTGCTGCTGCGACCAAGAACAACACCCAATTAACCAATCTGGGGTAGTTTCTGAACCCGCATCAAGGCAACATAGCCAATACTCATACATCACTTCCGAATTCAAGTTCAAGCTCGAAACAGTTGCAACCTTCCTGCCTTCGTCTGGAGGAAAAAGGCCATGAGCCAGTGATTGCAGTTGCGAAGCGCTCAGCACATGCTGAGAAGTTCGTTGAGGACTGTCACTGCTCTCCTGAATTGAAACGAAAACACAACTCCGGGTTCATTCATTCTGCGAAGAATATACAGTAAAACCGTGAAAGAATCCAGCGGGTCTCCGAAGGCAACAATACCATCAAAGAATTTGTGAGGTTGAGAAAGCTTCTCTTCAGACCTGCCCAACTGGTTGAAATTAACTCACTCGTTGATGCCATCAACTACACCAACCCTGGCAACTCTCTCGCATGTTGCCATGACCTTTGGAAGCTCACATTCTAGCAAGCAAAAGTCCATCAATGCGTCATTGAGATGCCGTGAGTGCCACTGCCACATGCTTTCACAAAGAAGACTGACAATCAGGGTTCACTCATCCGCCAAGCTGCAAAACAAACCTCGCTTTGCAGGACTTTCCTGGGAGATGTTTTGGTCATTTGAAATAACTTCAGTGTTAGCCTCCTCAAAGTGCTGCAACAGCATTGTACTGTATACTAAGTATACTATATACATAATATTATATATATGTAGATTATTATCAACACCTTGTAAGCAAACATGTTCAACTTGGTCTGAACGTATAGACAGGCGTGAACGTACCAGTGAACCTGGGGATGTACATGCGAGCGCACTGGCGAACGTACGGATGTACACGTAAGCGGACGGGTGAACGGACAGGCGGGCAGTGACATGTAGTCGGACGTGTGAACAATTCTTGGATGTTCAATAATCTGCTTTGCTCAAACAATATCCTTCTTTTGAAATAGGGAATCTGAAGAACACTTGCTGGTCGTTTTTTTGAACGAAAGAAACTGTGTCTTTTGGATGCAAACTTACATATGGATGTGCACAAAGATCCATCCATCCGTCCGTCCGTCCATTGGCGTGTCCATACATCTGCCCGCCTGTGCATCCGTACGCTCTCCCGTCCCTGTGTCACCGTGTGTCCGTCGCTGGGTAGCACACGTCCGCACACATGTCCGTGTGACCCGCACACTGCCGCCAGCCGTCGACCACTTTTCTGGGGCATATATGTTTTAACATTCAAATGATAGTATATATATAAGCACAGCCACCGATCTTTTTTCACGCGTTGCAGCAAGTTTGTCCA